GTAATCGTTACAATATAAATTTCATTAAAATTTTATAATTGGTCAGAAATAGTTTTGGTTTTCAAGATTTTATTACACTTTTATTTTGTATATTTATCGCAATACGTGGAATTTACAATTTTGTTTTGTTTTTTAAACTAGCATAGATAACCGATTGGTAACTACTATAATATCGTATTCGAGTGAACAAAAGTTTTAGCCGTTAAGAATATTGACTATATCCACTAAACTAATCAATATAGTTCAATACAAAATAAATATATTGAAAAGTCGTTTTTTCGAATATGATTTCATTCAAAACTTTATAATATTTGACTTTTATAAAACCTAACCTTTGATTATATGGGAAAAAAATTTTTTTTTTCTGCTGATAAGTGTTGTAGTTAGAAATGTAGATAGAAATGTAGAAGAAGGTAGAATATACTTTTGTGTAATTTAATTTATATCTGTACACAGCAATAAATCATCAAAATTAATCGAAATTAATGTTTGTTTATGTAATTCGTTTATTGTTTCATTCGATTTGAAAACCGGCTGACGTCCAAAAATCATATCTGTTTTTTATTTTATTTTTACTGCTGTTATAACAAAAATTACGCACAACTTTCGGGGTATCAAACGATTTTCGTAACTAATTACGAATTGATATAACCGTTATATAACATACACACACACACATACACACACATACGTCGTTCGTGATGGTTGTAATTTCGTTGGGTCTCTGCAGTTCAGAACCCAATAAGGTGCGGTGCAAAGTAATGTGCTTTTTCAATACACGAAATTGAATTATTACAGCTAAACGAACACGAATTTTTATATATAGGTACTCGTACATCCAGTTTTTCTAATTGATTTTCATATCGAATCGATATCATTGATGCAGCGCGCGACGAGGTCAGGTTTTATGTAGAGCTACCTGTTCCGTCGATTAATACCGTTACAAACTTCAAATATATATAATTTTAGTAGAAGTTATTGCGTTTGTTTCTATGAAAAGAGAAAAATACACATTTATTGCCAAGTGAGCTTATAACACGTTTCGTTAAACTATTAATTCAATAATAATATTACTCTGAGGGATACCTAACGTATACAATTAAAATATAAAAACATTTAGTCATTGAAAAACCATGCCGAGTAGCAATATGCGCCCATCGTTGAATCGGTCATATTTTAAAGTAGTAAAATCGCGTGGCGGGGTACAAATGCACTAATACGAATTTATATTAGTATAACATTATTTTAGGAGGTTAACAACAGCGAAATATTAATTATGCCTCGAAATCATAATTTCTCTGATAACTTTATAACTATCTGAAATTGAAGGGGCCGGTACAATAACGAGATAACTCCACTTTTCAAAACTGTACAAGTAACAAAATAATGTTTTAGAAATATTGTATTTACGATAAAATTAATTTCAAAGTAAATTTAGATACATTAGATAATGATAAAAAAATATTCCGTAGTATTTCATTTGATTTTCATAATTACTTTGAAATGAGAGCTATATTAACCTAAATTTTATGGAGTTATCTGGTTTTTTGACCGTAAATTTATATTCATAGTTTCTTTATCAATTGTTTTTAAATACCAAAAAACAGAAAAAAATTACCAAATAACTCCTTTTTCTTCATATCTCCTATACGGATGGTTTGATTTATCTCGTTCTTATACAGATATATTCGTAATTTTTTTCTTAATTTTAATCCGCCAAAATCACATTTTTGAAAAAAATGGAGTTATTTAATTTTTGCATGAAACATTCAATTGGTTGCAGTGTAATTTAAATACTTATAAACAAAAAGGAAAAATTTCGATTCCAAGTTTTTTTGAATAAATTTTAATTAATTTGAGAATGCTGAATTAAAATAATATGTAACTTGTTTCTTCAAATTGGCTTATATTTTCAAGATAGTATAATAGTATCTATAATAAAGATTAAATATAATTATATATATAAATATGTATATAATTTAATTTTGGTCGTATGCTGATACCAATACTACATAGATCGATGTGCACACTACGAACATAAAAAAGTTCGAATAAAATCTTCAAACATGCACTTATGACACAAAAAAATAACAATTTATACATAGTTTTGGAATAGTTTTCTTAAAAAAAATTTGCGAGCGATAAAAAAAATTACCGCAAATGCGAATATTTGTGCTTGACAGTATCATTTTATTTTATTATTTAAATAATTGTTTACAAAAATGATGTGACACCAGTAGGTATGACTGTATAAGCTTTTTAATTTACGCGCGAGTGTGTTTACTTTTTTATATTTCTCGTAATATCATATAATCACATTTTTTATAATATGAACATCGATAATAACTGTATATGACGTCATAATAATAATTAGCCTACTACTGTTACGTTTTTTAATAAGTTCAAAAAAAAAAAGCTTTCAGCATTATAAAAAGACATATGGGAAGTTAAGATTTATAGAATAATTTAATTTAGAACTGTGCTCAACAATAAATTATGACTAATGAAAAATGTTTCTGAGCGAAGTTTATTTAAACATGTTTTGAAATACCATGAATTTTACGATTTTCATCAAAATTTAAACTTATAACTTTATAAAAAAAATTACGATATAATGCTCAACTTTTTTTTTATTTTTGACCACTATAAATACAATTAATTTATGTGTTTAATTTTGAAGTATTTGTATAAGGCTGAAACAATTTTATTTACATAAAACTCAATAAAAACTAAAAAACACAATTTAAAATATTTCTACGGGTGATTTAGTAAGCGAACTCACCCCATTTTTTTGGTTGAATTTTGTATGAATTCAAGTTCTGATTTTTTCAATTTTTAAGTGTACTTTAAGCCGATATTTTTGAATACTTAGATTTTTCACAACATTTAAGGAGTATTCTGTAGTTATACCAACTTTAGTTTTTCATAAGAGAACTTATAATAAAAATTCCATAGATAGACGAAGTATATTACTTAAAAATACATTTTGGTGTCAACATTTTTGATTTCCATACACCCATTAATAAGATATTATACTTTTAATGTTCGGTAGCGGGGGAGTAGTGGTGTATAACTTGTATAGCGGCACGGCGTGGTGCGTTTTATTAATGTTCCACTACTCCCCCACCAACTAAACTTAAAAGTGGCATGTATCGTTTACAAGTAGACGAAAATCAAAAATGTTACCACTAAAATTGATTTAAAATAATATACTTCGTCTATTTATGGAATTTTTATTAAAGTTTCTTATTTGAAAAACCAAAGAAATTGTCTAATTTTTCAACGCCGATTTTTTCAATTACTAAGAAAACTAAATATAAAATTAAAAAACTACCTTCCAAATGCACCATTTAGATGAAATTTACATAATTAAAACACACACACATTAAAACCTACACTTTTTCATAATAAAATCAATACATTCCACGCTTCGCTCAGAACCTAAAATATTTGAATTACCCACCAATGACAAAAGCGTAATATTATAATTATGAGATGATATTAAAAACTGGTGCTATTAAGATGCGTTGGTATAAAACAATCGCGTATACAAAGCGTACGACGTTCTACTGAATTTTTAATTAAACTTTTACTGGCGTATACTGAATCCGGGTATAGTAGGTACCTATATTGGTTTGGCTAAAACTTCCTGCGGGGGAAAAAAACAATACCACTTATGATTTAATATAACTTCACTTTCCATCTTTTAAGTAGCTCTTAAGTCTGAATTTAAAAAATATTCAAAATTGGTTTTTTTTTTTTTGTTAATTTATTAATTCGCCTTCTTGCTTTATTAATTTTTCCACTAGTACTACATGATACTATTTTATTACTTCTATCGAAAGTATAAAACGTACTTTCTGTTTTCCACTGATTTCGAGTGTATATTACAATATTGTGCTTGAAGTTTCGTTTAAAAATATTAGCAATAATACAATTCGAAGCTAACGGGCCCACAGAAGGTACCAGTTTAAAGTATTATTTCCATTTTGTAAATTATTTTTAACATTTTTATAACCACCTAATGATAAAACTTATCCACTAATCAACTGCACGATACCCATTTAGGAGGAAGGGTTTTTGGGTAGTTTTTACAGACATATTATAAGATTTCGCGGGAATAGAGATAGATAACTATCAATGTCAATTTAATATTATTAGCTTTATTAACTAATAAACCACATATTATAGCCTGAATTGCATTCTAATTTTTATTTCAAATAATAATTAACGATGAAAACGTTTACATAAAAAAAAGCTTAAAATTAACATTGTCGAATGATAAAGTTTGTGATTAAAATCTCGAAAAACATGAGCAATATAAAAAAATAATAATAATAATTTGGTTATCTTTGTTATCTCCAGAAATATTACAATGGGTAATATATTCGTGGGATAATGTTTATGTATATATAGGCAAATCAAATTTTGGCCAAACAAAACTATAATATGACTGTCAACACTTGGTAACCAAATACAATGGTGGACGGTGATAGGCAATTTGACGATACGCTTTATAGTATGTGCTCCTAATAATAGTATTTACACTTCAACACTTAATATAATACCTAATATAGTCTGTTCTTGAGGTCGGGAAATCGATCGTATTGCAGTGAACGAGACAATTGTTGACAAAATATTATTTTAAACTAGAGTATTCACAAATAATATTTTCGAGTCGAATAAACTTATACAAAATAGTTAATAATAGCAAAATGACACACTATTTGCATCAAACAATACTAGTAAATATTCATTTATAAATCTGAAGTAAAGCGTGTTTGGAAAATAATGCTATACGGAACTTTCACCCGGGCGATATCAATAATAAAAAACCGAATATTTTAAACTAACTACCACTAAGATTGTTAAAAACTGCAACTTTTAAACCGAAATAAAGAACAAAAATAACAAATGTTCAAAAATTACAATGTCGAAAAAAATAACACTATTAAATAATCTTGATAAGAAGACAAAATTAGTAGATTAACTATATAATCAGAGTCTGACGCCTGTTAAAATTTACTATAATAATAACAATAATAATATTTTATTCGATGAATAAAATGGGCAAAGCCCTATAATACAGATACGTAAGCACAATTTTAGATTCCGAGTGTAGCAAAAAATGTATTAGTTTTACTAAGATGTTAATTATTTTTTTATTTTTTTATTTTTTTATCCTGTGTACAAAAATTCGACTATAAATCTTGCACAGATATAAACGTGCGACACCATTTCTGAAAAGGAATCTTGTCCAGATGGTACTTTTGGAAGGTCCTTTTTTTTGATTTTCATAACATCTGAGAAAAACCAAGATAAAACCTGAGAAAAACGGGAAATGTACGAAATTAATGCTTTTATTGTTTTATCAATTTTATTATTTATTTTAATTCAATTAAAAATATTCGTAGAAACTTGAAAATCAGAGAAAAAATGTATACTTGCTTTTTCTAGACGTGGTAAAATTTTCAAAATATTTAAGTCTTTTTTGGGCTATTTATAAACATTTTAATTTTGCGAGTTTTGTACGTAATTTTTATTCGGTAGGTACTCTGTGGTAAAATTGTTAGACTTAACAGAAATGCTTGAAAATTGAATAGGAGGCTCATTAAATCTCCTCTGTAATAAAAAAAAAAAAGAGAGTTTAATGTAGTATTTGTTTTCGTAAAGGAATTTCGATACTACATTTTGACGAAAATTGTTTGAGTAAAAAATGATTTAAAAAAATTTTAATTTTTCAATGTTCTTTTTTGAACAAGTGTGTATTGCCGATTTAAGAAGGATGATAATATCAGAATTGGTTGGACTGACAAGTTTCGAAGTCATAGCTTTTAGAAGTTCAGAGACTTTACAAATATTACATGCTTATGTTAAATAACTCTATATTAAATATTTATATTATGTTTGTTGTAGTCATAAATAGTAATGAATACCTATTGTATTCATGACCATTCACGGGTTTAAACTCGGGGTTTGAAAGGAAATATTTTGCACTTTTTTTCCCTTTTACCTAAATAAGGAAAAAACAAATGCATTTTAAGTTTACCTAGAGACCTAGTTAGCGCTCGCTCAGACGATTTTAATCCAAAAATACCCTCGATTTGTTGTATAAACTTTTCTACTAGAAATCTTGCTCCCATGTATCAAGTGTAGCTTATTTTCTGAAAGTAAATATTATCTTCATGGTTTAAGGAGGTCATTTTTGTGAACTAGGAAAAACCGGGATAAAATGTCAGAAAAACGGAAAATCTACGAAATATAGTTATTAGTAAAAAAAATATAAACACCTTTTTTTTTTCTGTATACAACTTTTCTACCAGCATTTTCGCTCCGATTTACAATGATAGCACTTTTTCTGAAAGTAGATCTGACTGGAAAGGTACTTTAAATAGGTCATTTTTCGATTTTTCCAAGAGATTTCTTAGCAAATGTGATAATCCGGGAAAAAACATTGGAAAACCGGAAATAACGCAGGAAAAACGGGAAAATCGATATAATATTAAACAAATATTATGAAAAAAAAATTATGTGATGACTATTTAATTATTTTACCATAATATGACTTAAATATTGTTGACAAAGTATCACTATTAACTGAACTGCGCTCAGAATCGTTTTTTCGTTAGCAATGTTTTATCGTTGCTTTCAGTTGTACATTAAATTATCTATAATAGTGGCTGTACCTGTCTCCATTATCCTAGGATGTCTTTTTAAAAATACATATGCAATAAAATAATAACAAAAATTTTGTTGAAGTACCTACTAAGTATGGCATATCATTTTTTAGGTGTGATTTAAAACCACCCAAATGTGTTCCGATTTATGTAAGATCATAGTTTTCAATTGTTGTGTTAAATTTATAAATCACAAATTTTTAGAATGTGATTTAATAAAATCAATACCTGTTTTCGAATATGGACTCCAAATAGGCGATTCATATTCTAAGATAAACATAATTAATGAGCACTATAAGAGCCTAAAAGATCTGAAATCTTTAGATTCAAATAATTGGTGTATACGAAACCCAATACTTACAGATATTTGTTCACACTACACTCAATATGTTCCTAGAAATTCAAATAAATAGTTATAGTTATGCCTAAGTCTTTAATTGATGATACCGAGTTGAATTTATTGCTGTTAATAAAACAAATATGATTCATATGATCACGAGATCGGTACAAATAAATCGAGTAACATTTATTGATATATAAGCTTGGTTTCCAATTTTGACACCAATCAAATAAGAGATTTAATTTCTATGTAGGATTAAGCAGTCGTTTGTTGATGAAAATCGAGAATAAATTTTTAAATCATTTATGAAAAGCAACATGCGGCATTTTTTTAAAATCTGATGTGATTCAATTAATAAATAATAAAATTAAGATAGATGATAAATGGTCACCTTGAACGGTTCCTGAAGGATTATGAAGCGGAACATCAAAGAATTGAACCGTATATACTATACTGATGAAAATTAAACGGAATGGAGTAAATTTTGAGCTAAGGACTAGGTTTAGTCATACCCTTTGTTTAAATGTGCACCCCATCTGTAATTTCCATAGCCCAGGCAAACCCGTAGGCGGTAGATCGATGTTAAATTTGAATAAATAGGTATAGTTTGTTACAGGCACTTTAAAGTTTAAATTGCCAAATATTATTTGATTATACGAGTCGTATGAGCCAGCATAACCCATTTTTCTTTTAAATTAACGAGTACCTAGTCATAAATAATAACAAGTTAGGAAAGCTCACTCTGCAAGCGTGCAAAGTTCCCAGTTTCTAAATGTATATTAAACCATAAACTGTAATCGAATATATAATTTAGTAAGAATTTAGTAATATAGTACAGTATACTTATGTACAAAAACTTAATTAATTTAAATATCTTAATTTCTAAATTGTTAACTAGACATTTTTAAAACTCTTAAAGTAATTATAATTTGGTACCTACTTTTTTAAAGTTGGATAGTATGAATTTATATTCAATACTAATATTTAAATATTGATAATAACTTTACGAATGTACACTTAAATTAATAATAATAATGTTACGAATAATATATCTCCTTGTTAACTAAATCAATATACCCGTAACTATGCGTACTGTATAGACACAGCGAGAATATAATGTGTTCTAAACTCGTGTATTGAAACCTAAAATTGGCATTAGTTATTATTACCTAGTCAATATTTCCATTTTCAATTAATAACGAACTGCAGGCACGTGGCACACCCATCAACTTCTAGAAGCTTCGTAACTAGGTGGAAATAATGTTAACCACCTATTTTATAAAGTTACAGTTGTATTAACATTGATTGATAATAAGATACTAAAAAAAAATATATTCCTAGCTGTCCCACGCCCGGCATTGCCCATGCCAATTTTATTAGCTATATTCGTTTGAGATTATCAAACGGAATAGGTCATCACGATAACGCGCTGATTTCCGTACCAGAGAAATTATTAAAATATTGCTGTCCATACTCCTCATTGTAGACGTGCTCGCGTAAATTAAGTATAATATAATAATTCTACTTATTTATTTTTTTGTTTGAATCTAGGAAAATTAAATACATTTTTCGTAAATCAATCATTTCGATTTGGAATTTGAAATATAGTAAAACTTCCATAAAACGGTCACCGGAGGAACCGTAAATAATGACCGTTCTTTAGAGGTGTCTTATAAAGGCATAGCACTTGACGGGACAAAATAAAATGACCGTTACATAGAAGTGACCGTCTTTTAGAGGTAACCGTTAACAGAAGTTTTACTGTAAAATAATGTAGGTAAACTATAACTGCATATATTCAATTTAAAATTTTACTATTTCTTTACAGGAAAAAAAAGGAAACCCATACAAATGTTAACAAAATCATTTTTTTTTCCAACTGAATACACCACGCCGTATTTTAAAATGCATTACTTTTTTTTTTTGCTCACTACAATTTTCATACAAAAAAAATTATAATAATTTCACCACAACTATTAGAATTGTATTGTGTTTTTTATGACTTTAATACTCTTATAAAATTCAATTTTTTGCTCAATTTTATAAATATTTTCCTTTTTAATACTTGTAAAAATATATTATTATCACCGTCAAAAGTCCACGGAAAAAGTGACAATATTTTTACCCAGTGATCTACCCAATGTAAATTTGTATAAAAAATCGAAAGTTATTTTCGATTAAGTTCCTACATAAGCAAGCGAATAGAGGTGGTCGAACAAAGATCCATGTAGTCGAAGTCCCCAGAATTTTGAAATATTTGAGGTTATGTTCAATTATTTTACTTCTCTTATCCGGTGTACAGGAATGGAACTAACGCCATCATTATGAAACAATTTGTAATTAATTTTAAATAGTTTTCATAATATGATCACGTCATGTTATATTTATCACATAATTCACGGCCTAAATAAGCTTCAAGTCTCTTTATTTTATTTTCCTCGGTTTAATAATGATTTTACTTCGTACGATATATTATTGTTTGAAAACGTTTAACATTCGTATTGTTAGTTTATATTGGTAAAAAAAAAAAAAATATAGATTATAAAAATGCTAACACGATGTACAACGGCATTCAAAATAAAAGCTTACATATTTGCGAAGCAAATCAACTACTTTTGGTGGCTAATATCACGGCAAAGGACACGGTGACGCTGAAATAACATAGTGATAAATCTAAAGAGTTTTAATTAAAATGTTTTGAAATATTTAAAAGTAGGTACCGAGGAAATGCACCTGTACATGAAGCTATTTAATAAAACTATATAATATATTACTTAGGTATATAGTTCCTTTTAAAGACAGCGAACGAAGGATTATCATCTGGAACGGAAGCAGATGCGAAATTGGAGATTAATGGTTTTGGGTGTTTCCCACAGATCTCCATATACTACCCTCGAAGTAATAATAATGATATTGTGGTACCACACCAAAGACCCGTTAACTCACGAAAATATAACTATCATTCCATAATAATATATTTTGCAATTTAATTCGATTTTAAGTCTCCGATGCGTAAACAGCATGCGCGTCGGAAATATAATAATAATATTTTGTTTGGATTAAAATCATTAAAGGAACGACGATTTCTACTGGTTCGTAAAGCCGTCGTTAAAATCCCATATTGATGATTCGTTTGTTCCCATAATAATATATACTCTAGAGTGTACATCATGACATCTAAGCGATATTATAATGTGATTAATATTATTTAACTGCGCGTTGGG